GTACACAAATCTCCCTTCTTTTAGTATTACTTGTATATATCGTGGTAAAAATGAATCCACATCACAGTGATTTTAAAGTGGCCATTGCATTTCCTAAGATTCTTTCCTTGTCTCACAGACTGCAGATATGAGTTTATAGCATCGCTGATTTAAATTTTAGATGCAAATTCATGGAAATTCAACAGTGAAGTGATTCAAAATTTGATTTGTTGGTGTCATCACTCAAAAATGAAGTCTGGGCATGAAATGTTCATGCATTTAAATGTTTTATATAGTTAATATGTGATAAATTGCTGCTTACTATGTATATGCAGTGCTTTGTTATATTGGTGATGGTGCATATAAAAGAATTTAATTATTAAATATAATTCTTTCTAGTGTTTTGTTTAAAGAAAAACAACTTAGAAAACATGCCTTTATTATTTCAAACTAGATTTGTATTGTATTCTACTTCTTACATTAAACAAATTGAGTCTAATTGGCTGTTTGATTAAAATGGTTCATCTGAATGTTATAATTATATTATTTCAGAGTAAATACATAAATATAAGTCTCTTCTGCTCACTAATACTGTATTTATTTGATGAAAAATACAGCAAAAACAGTAATATTGTGAAATATTATTACAATTATAAGTAACTATATTTTAAACAATTTTAAATAGCCCAACTTTATATTCAAATATCTTTTAAAATGTAATTTATTCCTGTGATCAAAGCTGAATTTTCAGCACCATTACTTTCTTCAGTGTCAGATGATCCTTCAGAAATCATTCTAATATGCTGATTTGCTGCTTAATTATTATTGGGGCTCAATGAAATGCATTTATTTGAAATACAAATGTTTTGTAACATTAGAAATGCTTTTACTGTCATTTTTGATCAATTTAATGCATCCTTGCTATTATATATAATGTGTCCTATAATGTCAGACAATAGTGTATATGCATATATAAATATGCATGCATTGCATATTTCAATCCATTTATCCATTATATTATACTTTAAAGAGCAGCAGTGGGAATTGTATGTGAAAGCAACTCACCTTATTTGTGTATAGATTTAGATCTTTTTCAGAAATTGTGTCAAGCCAATTGATTTGATTATCTGGTTCTGAGTCAAGTATAGTTTGGTTGTGACATCATGGGGGTGTTTGGGACATTCACAGACGCAAGCTTATTAAAAGGATTGACGGTCAAATGAAGGGTCAGTTGTTAGTTGTAAGAGGACGATGGTTAGCTCAGCTTGCAGTTCTCAGAGACGCCCCTATTATTTATTTCACTTGTGAAGATAATATGAGGCAACTAGAGGTCTAATTAAATAAGTACATGATGTGATGTGTGTGGTTAATGTATCATTTGGCTCGCTAAGAATGTTTTAATTGATTGTAATGATTTCACTTCCATCAGGAATGGGCGTTTTTCATGTGAACCTGCCGGAGGTTTAACCTCACTGACAGAACCTCCTCCCGGACCGGGCTTTGGTGTGAGACCTGACCTGTAAACAGACCTCCGTGATCTTGAGTCCTTGTAAACATCAGAGATGTTGTATATGTAAATAAAATATTATTATAAATTATACCCAATAGACCAGTGTGACTTTTTTTTTTTTTGAAATGATGACAAATGAACCATGCAGATTAAAGGAATAGTTCACCTAAAAATGAACATTCATCAGATTTGGAGAAATGCGTCATTCCATCACTTGCTCAGCAATGCAGTGAATGGGTGCCGTCAGAATGAGAGTCCAAACAGCTGATAAAAACATCACAATAATCCACAAGTAATCCACACCACTCCAGTCCATCAGTTAATGTCTTGTGAAGTGAAAAACTGCGTGTTTGTAAAAAACAATTCCATCATTAAGATGTTAACTCCAAAGTGTTGCTTCCAGCTAAAACACCAGTCCATAATCCATAACGCTTCCTCCAGTGAAAAAGTCCATCTCCTGTTGTCCCTCACATCAAGATCCACCAACATATTTGTTTAGAACTGTTTTGGCTGTAAACAGAGCTTGATCTGTGCAGATTTCTCTCCAGAAAAGATGACTTTGTCACTGGAGAAAGCAATATCACACATAAAGGACTCGTATTTTGGCTGGAAGCGACTGAAGTTGAAATGTCTTGATGATGGATTTGTTTCTTACAAAAGCACAGCTTCTGGTTTCACAAAATGGTAATTGATGGAGTGGTGTGGATTACTGTGATGTTTTTTTCATGTTGTTTGGACTCTCATTCTGACGGCACCCATTCACTGCAGAGGATCCATTGCTGAGCAAGTGATGCAGTGCTACATTTCTCCAAATCTGATCTGATGAAGAAACAAACTCATCTACATCTTGGATGGCCTGACGGTGAGTAAATCTAAAGCAAATTATCATTTTTGGGTGAACTATTCCTTAAAAGTTTTTTTGTGATACAAACAAGATCCATGTTTACATGCAAATCATTTAGATTTTTTTGATATTCCAAACAAGTAGTTTTTATGCTCCACAGCTAGTGGAACATTTCTGAACACAATAATCAGCATGTTCTGAGTAAACAAAGTCGAACACTTTTACTGCAACAGTACTGAAAATACTGGAGATGATTTCACCAGTTATTACGCTTCATTTTTAGTAATTATGTAGCGTAATTTCACCTCAATTCACATTCTTGTCACTGACAGCAGCACACTGCAATAAATAGCAAAACGTAGGCAGTGATACTATTTTGATGCTTTAACCCATCTGTTTATTGATTTATGTTTATTTCTTTTCATTAATAGATAATTGGTTAAAAAAGGAATATGTCAGATGTCTTGGAATATTGGGGTTGTGGCATATTCATCATAATATGACCAAATTGTAATTAATTTAGGAATATTCTCGTGCATGCAAACATGGTCACGACAAAGGCCTCCATCCTAAATACACTTTTGCAATATTGTAACAAAACATAACATAAGCACATACAGTGTAGTCTTCCATTACTTTGTGTTTATTTGATATAAACAATGCTTTAAAAAGACGTACATTTTGCCATCCATACAGCATAACCTCACTGACAGAGCAGATGCAGGATGTATAAACAAGCCACATCATAAGAGCGAGCATTTCTGAGGCTGTTCCACGTGCGGTTTTCCATACAGAACCTCACACAGTCTTTACTTACAAAACCCATAGTACATGATTGCCATAATCATATACCATGGCATTTATAGTAGTTAGCTGAACAAAATCTAGACAGCAATCTGTTTTTATATATATGTATGTATATATATAATGCAATTGAATGTAAATAATTTCTATCTAAACAATTTAATGATATTGAATAAAATGTACACCAAAATTCTGTCATTTTCCACAATATTTACTATTATTTGATCAATCAGGTACAGTTAGTGTCCAATGACAATAATCTAAAAATGGTTCAATATTAGCTGCTTTTATTTACTTTCACTTTTAACTAGGAAAGTCATTAGATTTCTATTTACAACCAGAAGAAAATACACATTATTGAAAAAATGATAACATCTAATAAGTAAGTTATACTGGTTTTATTCAAGTCAAAACTATATCACCGAATCAACCTAAATGCATTAATTTATACCAACAAAACACTTTAATGGGTTAAATCCAGTAGAAATAGCTCTTTAAGGTAACAATCGCAGGTCACCACTTTTTGCAGTGTCTTGAAAACATAAAAGATTACATCATTAATCATAATCAATGACACATAAAATGACATATAAGAGTTATTGATTAAAGTTTGATCATGTTGGCTGAGTTAAGACAACATGCGACTAACTTTTATGCTTTTGCAATTGTACAAATGGTAATATCACAACACTGTATGGTACTTTGTTTTTAAGGTTCAAACCATAACCCAGTTACAGTTTCATATGTCAACCACGCGTATTTATTAATGTTATGATCACTTCTTCACACCACAACATTTCATGCAACTGACTCTAGCTTGTCTATGCATATGTGTGCACGTGTGTGTCTAGCCAGCGCCCATCCCCCTCACACACACACACACACACACACACAGACCAATGTTCTCGTTCTGCAACATAATACCAGCCCATCCCCTGCGCATGCGCCAACTCCCTTTTTCCTACATCATGTAAATAACCAACTGCGCCACAACAATAATAACCGCCGCAACGGCGTTCTAAACTAGCCAACCTAGAATCAAACACATTTTATGCGCTCGTAATAACAGAATAAATTACGCCACATTGGATCGCGCTCGTCAAATACCTTCTCCTCCTCCTCGCGCCTCTCCGACAGCAACGTTCCAGAACATTCGCGCACGCTGGTGACGTCACGGTGCGCAGCGTCAGCCCCCCCATCCCAGAGAGAGAGAGAGAGAGAAATAATAACGATAAACCCTCATACAAAAACAAAATTACGACATGGGATAAGCAGAAAGTGAATGTATTTCACTTGTAAAAAACAAAAAGGAGCAATTTTTTAACATAAAGTATATATTTTTTTACATTTATTTAAATTATTTTTAATTATTATTTGACATCATTCAAACGTCAAAACAGTAAAATAAACACAAAGTTAATAAATAAATAAAATAGATTAAATGAAAGACACAGGACACATATTCTTTGCATAAAATGAAAATTTGCCTTAACTTATATTTACATAGCCTATAATTTAATTTAATTCATCTTAATTTAATTAATTTAATTTAATAATTTCAACCCCCACCCAGTGCATTATGTATTTGTGTAAAAACGAATTGAAGAAATAATAAATAAAATAATTAAGTGTTCATTTAAAAATCAAAATAGTATATTAAAAATACATTTAATTAAACTAAAAATCTAAAATAGAAATATTAAATATAGTGTTAAATACATGTAAATATATTATTAAATATTAAAACACCTATTTAAAATATGAACAGAATAGAGAAATATTAAACAGCAAACATTTCAGAGCGAGCGCAAAACGAGTTTGAGCGCCGTGGATCACGTGGTCCCTCGTCCGCCAATGAGCGCCTCCGCTTTGCGTGTTTTTTTCGCTGGAGCTTTTCTTAGAGACGCACTGACGGCGATGTTTTCAAAAGCAGCGCTGAGAGACACCACACAGCCGTAGGGTTAATGTTCAGTTTTTACCCTCCGACACACACGCTTCTTTCTCTTAAAATCGTCGAGAATTCGTCCTCTGCTGGTAGGTGAATGACGAAGAGGAAGCTGAAGAGCGCTGCGACGGTAAGCGGAAAGTTTCAGTTGTTTTTTTGTCGCGGTTTACGACTGAAGCAGGAGGAAAACGCGTTGAGTTTTGCAACGGAGAGAGCTTAACCCAGCAGACAGAGTGCTAGAACAACAGTAACCCAGTGTGTGTGGGATTTCCGAGGCTTTTTGTGAATATTCGCAGCAGCTGGAGCGGGGTTGTGTTCGCGAGCGTTGCTAGTGCGCCGTGCGTGCGTCAGTGACAGGCTGTGCGTTAAACGCGGGTGTGAAGAGCTGGAGGGCCCCGCATGTCTCATAAACCCACTGCAGGCTCATTGTCTGTGCGTGAGAGGTGGCGCAGACCGCAACGTGATACTGTATGCCATAGCTTTCATAATAACCCCGTTTAAGTTGGATCTTCCTGTCACTCAGTCAGCCGGAACGCGTTGCATTTATTATAATTTGCATTATTTTCCACCACCCATTTTTCTCTATAAACGACTGGGCATCAATGCATGGAATGTATGTAAATGTATTTGTATAATTATTTCGAGGTGTTTGTTATGTTGAGCGTGGTTGCAGCTGCGACGTGCATGAAATATTGTATCCATGCATGCAGCTCTGCTGTGTGTGTGTGTGTGTGTGTGTGTGTGTGTGTGTGTGTGTGTGGTTTGCACAAAGCTTTATTTGGTGACCGTCCTTCGCGCAGAAACCTTTTGTCTAAAGGATGTACCGAGGCGTCTTCAGCTGTGCAGCGACAGCCACAAGCATGTCAAATGCTGTTGCAATTCCTAGTGGCTTTCATAGAGATTTTTTGTGATGGCATAACACGTTACTACATTGTTTACTATGAGCAAAGTCTAATTGACACGAATCAGGCTTTTACTGGGAGGCACCACATCTCACCCACTAGCAAAATATTAGATGTATAATGTAGACTACATGTTTTTTAATATAAAGTTATACAAATAATTATATAAAAACGAAAAAAAAAAACCCCTGATATAATATATAACAAATTGTATACAAATATTTACATATATAATACATTTTTAATAGTTTTTTTTATCTTAATTGTTAATTGGCTTTTTTGAGAACATTTTAAGGACACAGTCCTGTGTAATGAAAATTATTTGTGTTTTGGATAGAATTTCTAAAACATTTTTAATGTAAACAATATATATGTGTGTGTATGTATGTATGTATGTATGTGTGTGT